CGAAGATTTACGAAAATTTACGGAAATTTATGCAAAAATTTACGGAAATTTTACATCCCGAAAACTTACGGAGTTATTCGCCCTTAAAAATTTCCTGATGATATCCTTCTCCAGCACCCATCCAACCTTCATTTTTTGAAATACCCAAACCAAAAACCATAACTGACAACTTATTTTCTATACTAACTATATATGGATGAAATTTTATATCATATAATAATTCTGCTATTATTAATTCTTTATTAAAATCCATAATCATCAAACTGGAAATTTTTGTTTTAGTTTTGAAACTTGTCTATATATAGATGTAATTGCGTTGGTTGGATATCTTCAATTTCACTTGAATCTGAATCACATTGACTAGTATAACCTGACTAATTTTTAGAAATATTATTTCCTTTTAAAATTTGCATGATAAAATTTTTTCTATTTAATTCTACTTGTGTTTTCATATCAATTTGAATTGAATACATCATTTCTAAATTATTATCTTTTTTTATTGATGAAGTAAACCACCAATTTTGTGAAAATAGACCATAATGTAATTCAGAATCAAGTTCTCCACTTGAAATTAATGCAACTACTAATTCCTATCATTTTGTTATAATATTATATTAAAATTTTAAATTTTATTTTTATCAGGTAATAGGTTGCGGGCCCATCTCATATGAGTTAGTCCGAGTCTCATCTTTTCAAATAAATATTAGAATAAGTTGTGTATTTTGTATTATGTAATCCTATGTAATGTAAAAAACTTTCTCTTTTTCTAATTAATAAATTTGAAGCAAGACCTCACTGGAATAAAAAAATAAAAAATAAAATAAATTTTATTTTTATTAATATGTAATTATAATTTGTGTATAATTTTATTAATTTTTTTTATAGAGTAATTTTGGGTGATAAAAAAGGGGCAAACATTATAAATTTTTTTTAGATTCAAAAAATAAAGAATTAATTATAAGTTAATTAACCCGAAAATCGTATATATTGCTATATATGCAGATCTGCACATGATCGGCGAATTACGAATTAACTATCCCCTAGATTATAGACCAATAAAAATCGAGATCTCACGTGGGATGAAATATTTCTGGTGATACTGGGGTAGCTGACGTTTAACAAGTGCATAAGAGAATAACATTTATTAAGTGTTCTTTGTGCTATGAGAAATTAAAAAATAGATCTTTTTCAATGTATTCTATTTCAAACTTAAGTGAAATATGAATTATGGTTCAAAATAAATTATTGCGCCATGTTTGTATCGAATTTATTAATTCGTGATTCGCGATAAACGGAAAGAAATCGACGCCTTAAATTTTGTGGCTGGTAGATTGCGGCTGGTATTTATTTATGGCTGATAGTTTGTGGTTTGGTGGTTAGTGCAATAATGAACCATGCGATGTCGATAGAAAAGCTAAGATGACATCTCCCAAACAGCAAACTATCGAATTGACAGATTTGGATCTTGCGCAATTGACTGAAGTTAGAAAGCAATTAGAAGAGGTTGAATGATTTTACTTCCAAATAAAATGTTATATATAATTACGTAATCAAATCTAATATATAATAAAATTTTTCATTAAAAAAGGAATTGAATCATCTAACAAATTCATTTGGTAAATTGAAACAAGCTCAAACGAGATTTCAGGATTGTATAGAAAGTGTGGAGTCAATCAAGTCAGGAACTGCAGGTATTCAAATTTGTTAATATTGAATTTATTGAATAGATTGAATAGAGGGAAATTTATATTGAAATATTGAATTTATCAAATTTTTTCCTTTAGGCACAGAATTGTTGGTTCCACTAACAGTATCAATATCCTTTAAAATATTCAATCAATTGACATTACAAAAAAAAAAATAAATAAATATAAATAAATAAATATAAATAAATAAATAAATATATATATATATATATATTCGTATTATTCCTTAATAAATCCGACACCTTTATGTTCCAGGAGAATTGATTGAAACTAATAAAGTAATAGTTGACGTAGGAACTGGATATTATGTTGAAAAGGTAATAAATTAAATATAATTAAATATAATTAAAAAGTATAATTTAAATATATATATATATATATTAGGAAACTCAGGAACTAAAGTTATCTTTATATCTCATATATATAAAAGAGTTTTGATGATGCAGTAAAATTTTATACAGAAAAAGTTGAATTTATTAAAAAGAATTTGGATAAATTACAACAAACGGTTACTTCCAAACAGAATAATTTACGAGGTATGTTCATTATTATTATTATTATTACAATTGAATTGAATTAAATTGGATTATAAAATTTATATATAAATTATATTTAATCTTTTTTCATTCTCATCAGTTACGGTTGATGTAATTCAAATGAAATTATCTCAAGGAGTTGCAAGTTCTTCCAAATCATAAAAATATATTATTAATAACTGTTATGTGAAATTTCATTTACAATATAATATAATAGATAATTATTTCATAAAAGACATAATAATCTTTTTTTTTTTTTTTGACTTCTCACTTTTAATAGTTCATCTCTCATTTATAAGAAATATAAGAAATGGAATTCATAAAATGTTAATTCGAATTTAATTTATTTCTCTACTTTCTTTACTACACAGATTACACGGATTTTTTACAGATTTTATTCTGTAAATTTAAAAATATTTTTTAAATTATGTTGAATTTGTTTTTTTTTGTTTTTTTTTGTTATTTGAAATTATAATCTTTAAAATCTTTAACATAATATATATAGCGAAATTAATAGATTGTAAATAAATCAAATGTTTATTATTAGATAATTAATATTAGTTTTATATACGTGATACTTGTACAACCCTCGGTGTCTAAGGGTAAACTCCGGGTAATAATAAAGATAAAGGAATTCTAAGAAATCTATGCGAAAATATCTTCAACTTCATTTTCGCCTTTAGCTTTTCTATTTTCGCTGAAATTATGGTTAAATTGTTCAATTCCTGTGATATTCATTTCTTGTTCCATTTCTAAATCTACTGCAAATCGTGCACGTTTCATTGTTGTTGTTGTTGATGATGGAGAAGAATCCTTTGAATTATCCTTTTGTTTACCGTTATTATCATCATCATCTTCTTCATCCCACTTTGTTTTGATCCCTAATAATCCTCCCGTTATTTGTTGTGGTGTGGATTCATTATCAAGGTCTATTTTAGATATTTTAGATGATGTTTCATCCACACTATTATTATTATTATTATCATTCATAATAGATAATGATGATGATATATCTCCTTTTGTATTCTTCATGAAAGTTTTTGTCAAAGATTCAATATATGGTTGTGTAAATACAATCCAATTTTCCCATACGTTAAGGATTGTTGTGATTTGGCGCTATAATGAATTTTATGTAATTACATTATGTTTGTTTTATAAGGGAGGGTGAGAAAGAAAATCAAAGTTTCACGAATATAAGGTGAGAAAACCATTGTTTTACGAACATAAATTATAAAATGATTTCTCATCCAAATTTTCCACCAATGATATTAAAGTTCTTTACAACAAAGATCCTTGTTAAAATCTTTGATATTTCCATTTGGGCACTTACCCTAAATGTCTCTGCTTTCAATCTTGCTGTAATAGACCTATAAACCTCATTCAAATGTTCGAATATTTCAGGTAATTTACTCTCAAAACTATAAATAAAATTTATAAAATTTTATAAAATTGAAATAAACAAATTTAGAAAATCCCATTTTATTTTAATTTGAATAATTTCTTTGGATAATTATAAAAAAAAAAATTGAACTTACCCAGTCCTAAATTTCCATGCATTGGGAATAGACACACTACTATTGTGTAAAATATCAGATACTAGATATAATCTTGAAACTTTGGTTACTATAGGTGTCTCCTTGATTATGAGTGCTTTGCAAATTATATCCACTATCTAAATTTCGAAATAATCAAAAATAATCATGAAAATTTTGTTGAAATAAAATAAATTTGTGTTAATAAATCTTCATTAATTACCTCATCAGCTGCATCCGAATGATCAATAGCAAATGTCATGGTTTTCGCAATAACACTTCGTTCAAATGTTAGTTTTCGTAACATTACTTCTAATCTATGTTTTGCTTTGGGACCTAATGAACCTTTTGGTACACGTTCCCTTTCACGTTCATCTTCTTCATCAGAGTCTAATAGTTCATCTACTTCCTAAAAACACAAAATAATAATATTAATTAATATTTATAAAAATGAAATATATTTGAATCCATATCAAAGATACCAACATCTTCATCAAATGGTATCTCCGGAGGGACCCATATTGGTCCTTCATCAAACATGTGAAAAGCTTCAACGCGCCACTTATTCTTTGGGTCACCTTGAAGAACTGAATATAACCTCCATCGGTAATATATGTGTTCAAGAGACTATTATATCAAAAAAAAAAGGTATTAGTACATTACGTAAATAATATAATAATAATAATAATAATAATAATAATAATAATTATTATTATTATTATTATTATTATTATTATTATTCTAATTATATTAAACTTACATCATTCTGGAAAAGGAAAGTAAATTTCGGATTATTCCATTCACGATCCATTATTATTGCCTAAAGTAATAAAATAAAAATAAAAATTGAAACATATTTGTAATATTTATAAAAATTGATATAATATATTAGATTTAGATCGAAAAATAACTGGTTTTAACCTCAAATGGTGGCCCGTATTTAACAACTCGTTCTACCATACGATGTATTATTCTTATCATTTGTTGATCTTCGGGACGCATAACTTGAACTTCAAGGCGAGGACCTTTGGATCCATCCTAATAAAATAAATAATTAATAATTAATTGATTTATAATTAATTATAATTAATAAGATTGAAAAATTCGGTATACTCACTGAAGAAGAAAGAACCAAGGTGAAGATACATTAACAATACGCTTATAAAAATTAATATCTTTATCTTAACGTAGTCTCAACTAAATTTTTTAATAATGATAAAATTTCTTTAAACTCACTACTTGAATGAACCATTTGTGCATTAAAGGGAAGTCCACTCGGTGGTGGTCTACCACTTTCGTTCAAAACTAAAATATTTTAAAATTATTTCATATTGAGATATTTTGTACTACGTGCCAAAAGAGAAAAATTTTAATAAAATTCATACCATATATTGGTTGAGGTGGAATTGGAACAGCTTTGCCCCATCCAACTCGCATAACGTAACCAAGCAATTCTTTTCCATCCATATTTTTCAAAGCCAAAGCTGCACATTCTCGATCCATAAAACTAACAAAACCACAATTACGATTTCTATCCTTTTCTTCTTGAGTACGTGGCCACATAATTTTGACGCTAGCGATAGGTCCATACTTTGCGAACTCTTTACATAGCATCTCTTCATTAACCTAAACATAAGAATAATATAAATTAAATGTTTCATTTTGGGAATGGAAAATTATGATATGAATTACTTACTTCTGGACTTATATTCCCAACATATAAATTTGTTGTGTTGGGATCTCCAGTGTCATGCGAACCGGGGCGATCCTCGAAAGCTGTATACATAATGGTGATGTAAATCTCATTTGATATAAAACCAATTGCTGCTTTTTCCAATCCAAGCCTTGAGCACATTTTGAGAATTGACTAACCTGCTTTAACAGTGAGAGATGTAGGTACGAATTCGTCACTAACACCAGTTTCTAAATCAATCCACGAAGTTAAAGATATTTACAAAACACAATATTACTTACTTAATAAATTCATAAAAAATAAAACACACCTGATGATACGCCTGCCCCCGCTAATTTTGCATGTTTTTGTCTAAGGCGATCTTCTCTTTCTTCTTGTTCTCTATTTTTACGTATTTATAAAATTTATAATTAGAAAATTTCATATTAAAAAAATTAAATGAATGATTATATGAAAGATTTCAAACCTTTTAATTTCTTCCAAAAATGCATCAAGATTGCGTTTTCTTTTTGACTTTTCCTCCCTTTTTTCTTCCTCCTACCGTAACAAATTCGATAAATGAAATTTGTACGATCTACTAGAAAACCTCAATTCAATAAATAAATATTTCACCTCATCATTTTCGTCAATTTGATCCACGTTATCCACTTCCACTTCTTGTTGGATGGGCTTAGAAGCGGGAACAAAAAGTTGTGGTTTATAAATTTTGGGAGGTGTAGAGGGCTGTACTTCCTTTTTAGTATTTATCGCTTCATGATCAAACAAAACTAATTATTTATAACCGATAAATAAATAAATAAATAAAAGAAAAGTTATTTTAACTAAATGAAATATTACATCATAAAATATATATATCATAACTTCTATAAAAATAACCTACGTTTCGGTACAATTGTTTCGCCTTTAACAAATGTTTTTCCTGCACCATCTTCCTTTTCAAATGATGCTACAAATTCAGCGTAAACTTTCGCTGCTTCCTCTGACTCTTGCTAGAATGGGTGGACGAGTTTCAGTAAATTATTTCCAACAAATAGAAAATCATACTCAACAAGTGTTACTTTTTTCTTTAATTCTAGTTCTTCTTTATGTTTTTGGAAAGGGGTTTTTTTATGAGTTCCAATGCTGAAGGCCTGTAACTTTGTTTTTGTAAGGGTCTATAATTGGTAGTAAAAAAATAAAATCATTAGAAATCGACAAAAAATATAGTCTTTAGCAGTTAGAACTTTCTAATACCTTCGCAGAGCCAGGTTTAGGGGAGTTTATTCCCCAAGGAAGTTTCTTTTCGTCGGGCATGATTTCGAAAATTGGGTAAAAAGATATGAATTTGTATTTTATCGTATTAAAAAAATTGAGGCAAATTTGTAGTGATATTTCGTAGTGTAACAAATGTCATGTGTTATAGAAGATACTTAATATATTTGTTACTTAATTATTGGTCAAAAACTTTATTATTATAAATAATATAAAATAATACAATATACGAAAAATAAACTTCAAGTTTAAGAATTAATATTGAATAAATCTTTAAAAAAAATTCGAATAAATCATAACGATCCTTTTTTTTTCAACATTCTAAACTCATTTCAATTTCCGGGAGTTCTTCTCCCGCCTTTAATAAAATAAATTAAAATAATTTAATAAATAATAATAATTAACAAAAGGAGATTATAGAATTATTTAAAGAAAATTTTAAATACCATTATTATAGCTCCCCCAAAATCATTTTTGCTTTTTAAACCATCTAAGAAGACTTTATCTTCAGTTTCATTGCATACCTCATCAAGATTAAATTCTTTACCCCAAGATGTGACAATTTCACTATTTATAATTTTGGATATGGCTGGAGGTGTAGTATAATAAGGTATCTTCCCTGAATTCCAATCTTGTAAAACAATTCTAGCAGCAGATTCTACACATGGAATACCTCCACGTCTTAACTTTCCTCTTTGACGAGCGATATCTATAAGAAACTCATTAGTATCTGTGAACATTGGAACATTATATCTTTTAATGAGTTGTTGTGGAGTACACCGTGAAACAATGAGTTCGACTATATTTTAATAAAAAAAAAAATAATAATAATAATTAAGATCACGTGTCAATTTGGAAATTTATAAAAATAATTTTTATTTATTTATTTTTTTTTACCTGCCGCAATAGGATCGTCCAATAACTCGATTTTCATACAATTCCTTAATAAGATTTCAGCATTCTTGTCACCTTTATCCTTATTAAATATAATACCTGGGCAATCTAATAATTTTACATTTTTATCCAAGCGAATTTCTTGAATCGACTTTGTCAAGCCTGGTGTAGCACCTACCCCACAAACCTTGGATCGTTTTAACGAATTTATGATAGAAGATTTCCCGACATTGGGAAATCCGACTATCCCAACAGTAATCGAAGTTTTAATATCACGATTACGAGAATAATTTTTAAGAAGTTTGACTAATGTACTTGCTCCAAAACATTCGCTACTAGATGCAATATTATCATGAACTTTGGTAATAGCATGATGACCTAAATTATTGCGTTGTTTCTGTGTAGAAGATTTGAAAGCGACTGTGGGATATTCCTTGCGTAAATATGCAAGCCACTCTACAACATTTTCCTTAGGAACAAGATCTAAGCGGATAGATAGATAAAAACATAAAATATTATCAGTTTGATTTTTAACCTAAAATGCAAGCATCCGGAATCCGAAAGCATTGAAAGAACTTTTTACCAATTTTATTGAGAACGAGAATTATCTTCTTTCCAAGTTCACTGTCAAGTATCATTTTCTCTACTTCTTTGGTCCTACAACCGAGAGGATCACGTGCGTCCAAAACTTCCAAAATAACATCAGCCGCATCAATAACCTTACGAAATTCTTTGTAATAAGCTTTCCGTGAATTATCTTTAGTTCCTAAATCTATTTGAGTAAATGAACCATCATCTTCCTCTTCTGAGCTTTCTTCTTTTTCAAAAGCTTCATCTCGCTTAGATGCATCATTGGCTAAAGATGTAAAATTGATATTTCGATTCTTATCAAATTTAGCATGACGTGCTTCTTTTTGTCGATTTTTCTCTTCTTCAACCTAATATTGAAAAAAAAAATCAATATAAAAATAGTGAATTTATGTTTAAGGTTTAAATTCTGTAATTTAGAATATGCCATTAAAATGTAAATTTTACCTTTCGTTTTTGTTGTTCAATTTTGTTTAATAAATTTTCTTTAAATGGCCATAAATTTGGTATGCCAGGATCCTTCGACTCTGTAAATCGGGAATAAATTTCGTTTGTAAAATGTGTACTTATCAGAAAATTGTAAAAAAAAAAAATCATATGCTTACTTTTTTTATGCGGATTTTTTTTGGCCGCTCTTCTTTCTTTACGTCGATGTTCGGCTACTTTTCGTTCAATTCTATAACGCCTTGCGCAAGAAATGCGCTTACTTTTAGTTTCTAATGAGAATATATCGATTATATAGATAAAATAATAATTATGTAATTTAAGTAATTTCTATCATATTAAATTGCTTACTCTTATGAACCATTGATTTCTTTTTATTTAATTCTTTTATTTATTTTATTCTATTTAATAAAAGAAAAGAAAGAAAAAAAAAAAACTTCGATGATTGGTTTAAAAAAAATTCCGATTTTTTAGATTAGATTTGAATCGATCGAATATATCGTTTCTTTATTCAAAAAAATGAAATATCGATCAACGAGAGGTTCACCAAAACTTTTTTCATTTTCTGAAACAGTTTTAATAGGTTTAGCTGATGATGGTGGCCTTTTCATTCCACAAAAAATTCCCACACTTCCTTTAGATTGGCGAACAAAATGGTCAAAATATTCTTTTAATAGTTTAGCTCTTGAAATTTTTTCGTTATTTATACCCGAAAGTGAAATACCTCGAACTGATTTAGAGGTATTAATTAATAAATCCTATTCAACTTTTAGACATGAAAAAGTAACCCCATTAAAAAAAATTCGAGAAAATTTATATATATTAGAATTATTTCATGGACCTACTTTTGCTTTTAAAGATGTTGCTTTACAATTTTTAGGCAATTTATTTGAATATTTGTTAGAGAAAAAAAATAAAAATATTTTGAAAGGTGAAAAGGAAAGAATAACCGTTCTTGGTGCTACTAGTGGCGATACTGGAAGGTAAATTAAAATTATATAATTTGCTATTTAATATTGAATTTATTTTTTTTTTTTTTTAAATTAAAATTATTATTTTTTTTTTTAAGTGCTGCGATCTATGGATTAAGAGGCAAAAAGAATGTTTCAGTTTTTATTCTTCATCCTCGAGGAAAAGTTTCTCCCATTCAAGAGGCACAGATGACAACAGTTTTAGATAAGAATGTTCATAATTTAGCAGTCGAAGGAACATTTGATGATTGTCAAGTAAATATATCAAAAATATTTTAAGATATTTTAAGATATTTAAAGATATGAAAAACCCTAATCTATTTTATATGTATATATATATTCTTAGGATGTTGTTAAAATTCTATTTTCGGATGTCCCCTTCAATAAAAAAAATCATTTAGGAGCCGTAAATTCTATAAATTGGGCAAGAATTTTGGCTCAAACTACATATTATTTTCATTCATATTTTCAACTTTTATCATCATTAAACATTTCACCAACTTCCACTTCTTCTTCTAATATTCATTTACGATATGCTGTTCCAACTGGTAATTTTGGTGATATTTTAGCAGGATATTATGCTAAACGTATGGGATTACCTATTGAGAAATTAATTGCAGCCACCAATCAAAATGATATTTTAGATAGATTTTTTAAAACTGGTAGATATGAAAAAATTTCCGATAAAAATAATATTCACATCGTACATGAAACATTAAGTCCTGCCATGGATATAGTTGTTTCAAGTAATTTTGAAAGATTATTATGGCATTTGGCTTATGAAACAATCGATAGTGTTGATAATGATGTTAAAGATGAAGAAGATAATGATCTTATGAAATCAAATCTTGCAGGATCAATTGTAAATAATTGGATGAAAAATTTAAAAGCCAAGAATTGTTTTGTTGTTAATAAATCTCAACTTGAATTATCATTGCGAGATTTTAAGAGTACAAGAATTTCTGATCAAGAGGTAACCCGTTTTTTTCTTTCTTCACATCTATCTTTGATTATTAACTTTAAAATATGCATCTAATTTAATCTCATAATTCAATTAGACAAGGGATACAATTAGTCGTTATTATTCACCAAAAGATACTAAAAATCAAATTCCTTATGTTTTGGATCCTCATACCGCTGTTGGGGTAGCAGCTTCAGAGAATCAAGATGATATATCAGAGTATGTAATTTTCAAATATTTCAAGTATTTCATGACACTAAAATCATAATCACGATAATAAATGATGATAATTTATTTTTATTTTCAATTTACAACAGAAATACATATCAAATTTGTCTAGCAACTGCACATCCGGCAAAATTTTCTATGGCAGTTGAAGAATCTTTAAAAGATTTCAAAGATTTCAAATTTGAAGAAATTTTGCCAAAAGAATTTGTCGGATTATTAGAGAAAGAAAAGAATATTGTATACGTGGAACGTGCGGATCCTGAATTGGTTAAAAAAGCTATTAAAAAAGAATTAGAAATTGAACTTTCTAATTCATAATTTTTTTTCATCAAGAGAATAATTTATGTACAATATAATTTTAAAAAAAGAATTTTTAAATTAATTAATTCAATAACATAAAAATTATCAATATTACTTAATTATTTCCGAAAAACGAATTTGCCTTTTAAAAAATTAATCTTTATTTTATTTTTGAAAATGCACTCAACTACATTCTTGATATTATCTTGATTATGTATAAATAAAAAAGTACATTGAATAAGAAAAATACAATATATGAATATATATTATAAATATATATTATAAACTCTTTACAAAATTACTACTTGAAATAATCAACTTTAATGCATGAAATAGAAATAATACTAAAACTAGATTGGATCCGGATGACTTTAAAACCGGATATCCGGTTTTCATCCGGTTTGAAGTATAAACTAAATTTTAAAAAAGTATGCTTGTCACCGCTGATGATAGTCACCGTTGGGCAAAATTAACAAATTTATGGTTAGGGTTAGGATCAGGGAATTATGTAATTTTGCCCAGTGGTGACAATCACCACTGGTGACAATCACCACTGGTGACAATCACCACTGGTGACAAATAGATTTACTCTAAATTTTAAACTAGATAAAATAAAATTTAACCATCAAGAAATTTTAGGAGAAAAAATTTGTGCAAATTTTCATTATTTGCAAAAATTAAAAGTTTTTTTTTTTACTTCGCTCGCGATTTGTGAGGCGTAGAGCAATTTTTTACTAAGATATTTCTAATATAGATAGAATGGCCTTGTTGTTGGCTACAAAATGATATGTGTTTCATCCAGATAGCATCGATATTCGCAAAGTTATTCCAGTTTAAAGAAAAACGTCCGTGAAAAATCGTGCGTATAGATTTTCACATATTTTTCACGGACGTTTTTCTTTAAACTGGAATAAATCCGCGAATATCGATGCTATTTGGATGAAACACATACCAATTTTTAGCTAAGAACAAGGCCGTTCTATCTATATTAGAAATATCTTAGTAAAAAATTGCTCTACGCTTCGCAAATTCAAAAAAAAAAGTAAAAAAAAATGCAAAGGTATCGTTTTTGAGAGATAAGCGTTACTTTTTTGATAGATCCTTTTTTCTCGTTTATTCCTCCTCACTTCACACCTTTCTTCTTTAAGAATGACGATTTTAACCATCTTTTTCTATCATTTTTCCATCCTTTTCCTTTATTTCTTTGCTTTTTTCTCTTCCTTTTCACTTCCTTATCACTTACTTTCACTTCTTACTTTTCTTTTTTTATTTGTTGCTTTAATATTTTACCAGTAGTAAAAATTCTCCATTAGAAAGTTAAAAAAAAAATAAATTTATTGTATATTTTATAATTTTAATAAAAGAATTTGAGGTATAGATTTCTTATCCTATTCTTCCCGTGCCAATTATTGTGTAACTACCTTAACGCATGGGTTAGGGTTAGGGTTTATCAGGGGTGAATTATTTATCACCTTGTATCACACCCTTCGAATATTGATTTTATCCTAGGGGCTAAGGTATTGTTTTATAATAAACTAGTCATTTCGGCTGCCAAAATTCAGTTTTCATAGTATTTGGATTTGGGATTTGGGATTTGGGATTTGGGATTTAGCATTTGGGCGGCACGTCGTGTCTGAAATCTTTGACGTTGTATTTCTTACTGCGTCACGTATCATGTGATACCGTTCTGATTCAGAACACCCTTTATGTTATTTTGAACAAATTCGGATAATTTGAGTAACCACCCTTGATAAATAATGAATATAAAGTTTTCATCTACAAAGCTTTTATTTTTTAACAATGCGTGTGTGTTTTGGAGGAATAGGCTTTTACCTTACTCTTTTCACTTTCCACTCTTCCATCTCTTCCCTCGGTTCCTATCGGATGCATCATCTTCGAAACCTCTCGAAATATTTACAACAGGGTCATTTGATGCTTTGAGGCGGGAAAGTTGTTATTATTTGGACAAGACTCACTTCATCCCTAAAATAGAGGCTCTCCGTGCTCCTGCCATCCTTTCCCTACGTCCTCGTCGCTTCGGAAAAACATTATTTCTCTCTACTTTGTCATCTTATTATGACATAAAAAACAGAGAACGATTCGAACAGCTTTTCGGGGAGTTATATATCGGCAAAAACCCCACATCATTAGCATCTTCATTTCTTGTTCTCAAACTCAATTTTGCCGGGCTTCGCACTAATGAGACATACGACATCTTCAATGTCGACTTTCACGAAAGTTTAAATAGATTTATTTCAATATTTATGAATCGATATCGATATGAGTTGGGGGATTATTTCCAGGCTGTTGATGAAAATAAAAGTGCTTTGAGAAATTTCATGATGCTATCGGAAGCGGTACAATTGAGTGGTCACAAGGTATTTCTCTTGTTCAGTTATCACCTCGATTCAAAAAAGAGTATCAACTAATATTTTTCACCCTTAGCTTTATGTTCTTATTGATGAATACGATGCTGGTATGAATGAAGCCCTTAAAAATGAAACCATCTTACAACCTCTTATCGCTCATCATGAAAAGAAAGGTACCTCTTCACAAACCAGAATTGAAGCAATGGAAAGTTCGTTCAAACAATTCTACAGTCGTCTGAAGACTGTTTGCGATGAAGGCATAGCTCGCGTTTTCCAAACTGGTGTGACCCCTGTCGTTATGTCTGAGTTCACTTCGGGTTTTAACATAGCGGAGGATTTGGCACTAGACAAAGAATTCTGGGATTTGTATGGATTTAAGAAATCTGAGATTGAGCTTCTCTTGGATAAAGCTTTTGGAAATAATTTGTTATCAGATGTTAAAGAGAGACTAATTATATGGTTAAAAGAGGAAAATGACGGGTATTTTTTTCATCCTGAACAACCTGAAGGGATTTTCAACACTGCACGTGTCCTGTACTGTATCAAGAAGTTTATGAAACAAAAAAAAGAATTGGATAATAATATGGATCCTTCAGTCATTTTTAACACACTTCTCAATTTTCATTCCGACCCGCATACATTGCCCTCTCAAACAACTTTGGATTTGATTGTCAACAATCCCCTTGGCAAATTCGTCCTTACCGAAGCACTCAATCAACATTCTGTTGAATTAAAAAAGAATATAGAACAACGATTTCGGCTTACCAACATTCGCGAGCTAGCAACTGATCGTAATCCGTTACTATTATTCATGTTCTATACTGGCGCTCTAACATATAATCCAGAATCATTAAAATACGAACTTCGGATCCCGAATAATATAGCCAAAAGAGAGTTTATTGCAGAGGCACTTAAGATTTATGATTGGAAGGAAGAGGATTTAATGTCTATACGGAAATGCTTGCAGATTTTAGAGGCAGAATATAACATTGAACCTTTTTGCCAATTTATAGAGAAAACCTTGCTTAAACCATTAAAGGACAATAGTGTTATTCATTCAAATGAAGAGGCATTGAAATAAGCTTTCATGGATGCTTTAATTCTCACTCTTCATGCGGATATTGAGCCAGAATTTCAGGTACATACTCAAAATTTAAGTAGAAAAGCAATTGATCTAGTAAAGACAAGTACTGGAAGAAGAATAGCAATCGAATTTGATAATATTAAGACAGCATGTATTAAATTGGGCAAAGGTAAAGTTCTAGAAAGCTGGCAGGAATTGACTCAAGTGTCACGATTATTGTCAGAAAAATCAGATGAAGAAATTTTAAGCCTTGAAATTAGTGATAAATATCGGCCTAGACAAAAGACAGTCCGTGAAGTTTTGGAACAGAAAATTAATGTGAAAAAAAATGAGTACTTAACGCCTTTAAGAGATCGAAACGATGCTGAATTGAGTTGTATGTTTATTGTTTTGAGAGTGGGTTTGCATCGTCTAATTAGTAGGAGGGTTTATTGTATTGATGAATAATTCGTAGGATTATATTTTATTAATTATTAAAAAATTAAGTATCTGGAATTTTAGACTTTATATTTTTTATCATATGTATGTGGTGTGACAGGTGATGTTATATGTCAGAAAAATGATATAATTCCGTAAATATGTTATTGCTCGAATACGAAAAACATCTTTTACAATCAGAACCAAGGTGTCCTGTTTATAGGAGCAACAAAGATATCAAAACAACCCTTTCACCATCCGAACAGAACTGCAAGAAGATTTAATGGAAATATCACCGCAAATTACAGAGGCCAGCTGTGGAAAAGATATACCATTAACCAGAGACGAATGTAGAAGGGATCCTATATTATTCGAGAGCAACGCCGATATTGGTTTTACTCAGGCTTTACAAAATAATGATACCTCCCCCTCATCTAAAAATGTTATTGAACCAGCTCCTAAATTATGTTCCAAGTGTTCCGAAGACATCTCCCCAGAACTTCTAAGGCGGTCATATTATTAACATGTAAACATGTTATCCATTCAAGTGCATTGGCAACAAGTGAAACTTATGCCCTAAATGTCCATCAGTGGATGATCTGAAAAAAGAAGGATATTATGTCTCGCCTGGTATCTCAATTAACGAAGCTCCCAATAAGAAAAAGAAGAAAGAAAAAGGTAACGTTTATGAAAATAAGCCTAAAAAGATCTCAAAACCGCAAGCCATGATTCGAGAGTTATCAGTCGTACCAATTTCTGATGAACTATCAATCACTATATCTGGAAGGAATATCCATTGCCTATATTGTGAAGTTGATGACATTGAAAAAAAGGGGGATCGAACAAATCGGAAGGTGATTCATTTTATTTTCAGTTTGGAAAAGCACTATCAGAGCATTTCACTGTGTTGTTAAAAATAAGCCCCCACAAATAGCATATACGGATCTAAACAGAAAAGTTAGAGAGCATCTTCCGAAAAATCTCAATAATGCTATGGTACGCAAAAGAATAGATACTGCTAGAAAAATTTATGATACTTTTCTTTCCTATACAATCAAAATACGAAAATTATTATAAGAACCGCTTTTCTTTATTTTTTTTGACTTTAGTCCGAGATGCAAGTGTAATTACAAACATAATATTATTATATATATCCGGATATATGTCTTTTTTTATGTAGAATCGTAATACTTAGAACGTAAAAGTAAGATACATTAATAAAATTTTTTTAAATTTATAATTTTTATTTTATTATATATTGAATAATAAATTATTAAAATTGACAGTACAAAAAAGATAAATAATATTTTTTTAAAGTGTATTTTACTTGTTTTTATGATAGTTCCACCATTTCCGTACCTTTTTCGTGGTCCAAACTTCAGGTAATTGTTCACGAATGGAGACAATGGCTTCATCTGGAAGTTTATCTTTATATATTTTTAAAGTGGAAAGAATTGTTATTTCATCTTCAGTTGTACGACGTCTTGTAGTTATTAATTTTCTTTTTTTTGTTTGTGATTCAGTTGTATTATTTATTGATTCGTTTAAACCTAATTCATTAGGATTTTTAGCTGCTACATTTTGTACCATTTGTGTTGACTCTTCAGGATTTATTGTATTGGTATTTTTGACCTTTTTATTATTATTATTATAATCTTTTAATTTTGTTTTAACAACTTCTGTTGCTCTTCTACCTTGGGTATTTTTGGGTTCGATTTTGAGGACTTCTTGTCTATATACTTTTTTAATTTGCTCTAATCCATGTGGATAACAAGCAACAAGTTGTTCCAGTCCTTTTTGATGCATTTGTGTCAGAGTATATTTTTGAAATAATGGGTGAGATAAGGGTTCATCCATTCCAAAAACCATTACAAGATCATCTACTACCTTTCACAAAGATTCCTTACGTGATTTAATAGCCCTTTCACTATGTGAGATAGAAATATCATCCAGATATTCACTAAGTAACAAGTCAACTCTTTCTCTTTCATCTTGGAAAGCTTTTATTTGATTTTTTAGATTATTTTCATCAATAACGTCACCACTTATATTGCATTTAATAAATTTAACTCCAAAAGTTTCGAGAGCTTCATCAAATCCAAAACAAATATGACGTAAGTTTTTAGAATCATTATTAGTATCTTGTGGAATTTTGAATGCACTACAATAATTCAATTTCTTTTCTAATTGAGAATATGTAGCTACAATAGCAAGAAAATGAGATATTGCTATAGTATAATTAAACTTTCCCGCACTTGCATATAGTGGTCCTGCTGCAGATAAAGAGTTTTTTTGTAATTTAAAGTTTCCAATATGCATTCTTATTCTATGAGTCTTCCAAATTCCCACCCATATATAATAGTGGTACCAGATCTAATAAAATATTAAATAATTATTAAATTATTTGTGGAATTAAATATTTGAATTTAATATATTAAAAAAAAAGTACAATATTTTTTAAAATTAAAATTCATTATAAGTAGTTTATTATTAAAATAATATTTTAATTAATTTGTTTTTTATTATTAATAAATAAAGTTTATACCTTAAGACAAATATTATTACTATTCATTATTTTGGAAAATTGTATTTCTTTTTTAGTAATAAAAATATTAATTGCCAAATCTACTAATTTATCTAAAAAACGAACTCCCAATTGTGATGCCAAGCTTAATAAGCCATAACTAGAAAAAAGAACAATTAAAGCTGAACAAAAATTCTTATTTGTATACCATAGATCCAATAAAGGTCTAATATTTGGCCATTTTTCTTTACATTTGATTAGTTTACAAAAAATTACTTCATTAGCAAAAATATCCAAATATGTATTATTTATTGTAAAATTTTTTTTATACATTTCAGCAACATTTAAAATTTTCTCATCTGAATTAGGATTCCCTCCTGGTTCTAATATTACAATTTTAGGAGATGGATCCATGATCCAATTTAGTTAAAATTTTATTTTTAATAGTTTCGGTATCAAAATTTATATTATAAATTAATTCATCATTAATTTTTTTAAAATCCAATAGTTCACAGATAATTTGTTGAAATATCATTAATGTTTCATCAATACAAGAATTCATTCCAAATAAAGGTGTTTCTGGTGTTAATTCGATATGCTCTATTTTAGAAGTTTCTTCAAATGATAAAGTAATTTGAAAAGTCATTCGTAAAGTAACATGAAAACTACCACAAGTAACATCATAAATATTATCATATTTGAAACACTTTTCTTTAAAATCAATATTATCTATTATAACCAAATTCCAAATATTTTTATTTTGAATTAGACATTTTGTAGGATCTGAGTTTTTCATTCTAATTTTTACTAATCTTCGTTCATGTCTATCAGTATGTCCAGTTACATAACAAACTTTTAACATTTGTCAAAAAGAATTCAGTAATCTTGGCATATGACTAAGGCTAGCCAAAACTCTTGATATTCAAACTTTCAAATGTAGAAAAGTTAAATTTAATAAAATTGAAATAATAAATGTAACAATTTTTATTGTATATTTATTATTTTGTAATATTTTGAAACTTTTGTTTTTTTTTGATATATTTCATCAATAAATTCAAAAAAAAAAAATTTTTAAAAATTCAGGAAACGATTTAAAATATTCTTGAATATTTTGAAGATATTCAAGAGTAGATTTTTTTTGAAATAATAAATGATCTAGAATTCCATAATTTTTGATCAAATAAGCATCCACATTTTTCAAAATTTTTTATTTCACAAATTTCCTTTTCTTTTTTTTCAAAAAAAATTCATAAAAAGAATTTTTATTATAAATAAACTAGGGAATTTTGATATGAAATTTTTTTTCTTGAATTGTTGTATTATCTAAATTAGAAACAATCTTAGAATTGTTTGTATATTTTGAAAAAGATGTAAATGGATAAAGAGTTTTTACAATTTCTAATAGTATTTTTTTTTTAATTTCTTCATTTTTTGTTTTTGCAATATTTATTAACCAATTTTCTAGAAATTCAAGTCCTTTTATTGTATCATTGTTATATAATTTTTCAGTAATACATGTTTTTGCAACTTTTTCCCTTCCAAGATATTGATAAATGTGACCATCCAAATTTTCATAACATGTTAAACAAATACTTTAAAGTTTATTAATATTATTAAAGGCTTAATTACATAAAGGAGAATATACATGTAATGCTTCACATATATACTGTCTGATACATGGCACTTGAATATTTTGTTCATTTAATTTTCAAGAATGAATAGCATATCCTTTATCTCAAAAAAAATAAGTTGTATATTTTTTACAAAAAATATATCTTCACCATTGTATTATATTTTTAGTAAAATTTTTTATTTGCTTATTTTGTAATTTGTGTAAATATTTATTATCGAATTGAAAATGAGAATCACACAATTCCAATTTTGATAAAATACCATTAACTTCCTTTACTACTTCTCTATTAACTTGGCATGTATCAAAAAGATTATGTAATTGTCTCATTTTTCCATCCTTTTGATCACAATATTATATCTTGTCATCAATAACATCAATTACTACACATGGTGTCAATTCTACTTATTTTATAATTTCTATTATTTCATCTTTATCACTATTATGATTTTTATCTTCATTTTCATTTTCTAAGTCTATTTGTTCATTTTCATAAGTATTTAAATCAGAATTACTAGTTTCTGTATTATGAAATTTGAAAGATATGCTAATATATTCTTTTTTATTTATACAAAACTCATTGACACTATCTAAATTGTTTAAAAAATTTACAGAAGAAAAAGAAAAATGTGAATTAAAAGGAATGTTGTCTTCTTGTATAGATATTTTGATTATTTTCGAATTATAAAAAAAAAGGCAAAACTAAACTCGAGATGTAAGTTATTAATAACTTTTCTTTTATATTTGAAGACGAAAATACCTGTCTAAAATCTTATGGTTTTGTAAATATTAGTACAATAATACTTGGTGAAATAACATTTTTGTATATTAGCATATATGTCAAGTTTGATAATTTTTCATTTAAAAAATTATTGTTTCAAGTAAAAATATACCAATTTTCATTTAATTATTTTAAAAATCAATATACTGTTATTTCAATATAATAAATATTATGTGTAAAATTTTGATATATATTATTATATAGATTATCTTAATATAATTAAAAAAAAGTTTTATTAAAAGTAATTGGTATATATATAAAATTTTACTAATTAAATTACCTCATTATGCAGATTTCCAAAATGTCCACTGACTACTAAACTAGGGCTATCATATAATATATTTTGTGATAAAATCGAACATCTATACATAGAGATATTATACTTAAAATGAAACTGACAAAAAATAATAAATTTATTCTTAAATTATTACCTATATCGTATTCAATGGATATTAAAAATAGATACTAACTATCTTATACGAAATTGTAGTTAAAAATAATATCTACAATTTTAATTATTGACATTTTTTTTATACATAATAAAAATTTTGATTTCACTTATATATGAATAAATTTATTTATTTATTTTAGCAAACCGGTATAATCTCATATAGTTTCCTATAATACTGATCGAAATAGGAAATATCGGACACCTATCGTATGTCTATTAGGAATCTGATAGATATACGATAGGTGTCTAATATTAACAATTATGCAATATATTGGGTACCCGATTGGTGAGATCGAAATACAGAAGTTCGGGTACTTATCGGACTCATATCGATTTCATATCGGGTATTAATATTTTGACATTTTATTCAAATTCATCATTCATATATCGGGTATCTGATTTTATTTATTTTTTTTATCAGGTACATATCTTTTATAAATTGGTCATAGTACAGTATATCCTTATATATTGAACACAGTATATCTCTGTGTATCAGGTAGTTTTTTTTCCTCTATTGGATATCTATCAGTACCTTTTATTTATATATATATATATATTCACTTTTTTTTATTTGCAAATAATCATAATTTTAGTTTATTATAAAAAAAGATAATAAAATGAAATACATTTATT